GAAACCCCTAGCAAAAGGAAAATGAACCTGATACAATACAGCAACTGGCATGAGACAACTAAATTCAAAAGACTGGCATGCCTCAGGGGGGTCAGCACTTAAATTATGTTTCTATCTACATGCTAATTGAATTAACAATCATTAAGTGGCTTCCAAGTTCCTGGACTAAGTAAAGACAAGTTAAAAGCCCTTCAATAACTGAAATCACCTGGAGGCAAATCAGGAAGCATCAGTTCCACCCACAGATGCAGTGAGCAGAAGTTAGTTACTCACTATGCAACCCCTTATTCAGAGGAAGTTGCTGCCACCCCTGCTACTCCCCAAACACACATGCAAGCTTTCCTCAGCTCCAGGTTTCATTTTTGAGTAATACCAGATTACCTTCAGCAACAGACAGATGAGTTTTAGTTAAATGAACAGTGGAACAAGATTTTAAGGAAAGCATATTTCTGCAGTAAAACAATGAGCTTCCCAGCAAAGTAATCATACACATCATTTTGATGGCAAAGGCTGCAAAAAATGAAACCTTGTATTTTAGGTAAAGGAGTCATCTTTTAATGCATTTATTGGTCCATTCCATTAAATTAATTGAGGTAAACAAACGGTGCATTTAAAAAAAAAATGTACACACGAATAGAGAATTACAAACAGTTTTACCTCAAAATGTTTTTCTCTATCAATACTATTTCCATAGTAAACAATGTACAAAGTATATTTATACAGAGATATATGAAAGGGTATAGAAACATGCCAGCACCAGAAGGCAAGACAACGTTTCATAGCCTGTGAGTCTGAACAAGAGCACAGCTGCCAGATTCAGTCAAGTGCAGAAAACAAAAGCCTCCTTCTCATTTTTCCATAGTTCACTAGCTAATTCACACAGACACAAGACTTTTCACAGCTTTTATTTTGTTTTTTAATAGTACGGTTTTTAATGGTGACTCTAGTTCCAGTGAGTGGTTTTACAGAGGTTGAAACCAGAAGAGCCTGCACAATGAGCCAGCACCATTTTGGTCCCCAGAGCTGACTCCTTCAACAAGGAGGGAGATGAGATCCACCTCTGCTTACAGCCAGCCTGCTTCACCTGCATGGCCCACCTGTCCTGACCTTAAGAAGGGTCAGAGGGATGCAGGCACAAAGGAAAACAGAACAAGGACGGTGCTGCTTTATTTTCATATGCTAAAGACAAAAGCCCTTTGGCTGTTTGCCATTGTAAGACTTTCCCTCTACAACCTATCTCCCTGTGCAGTGGGAACATGACACTGGCCACAACCCTGCTGCCTGGTCAGAAGGTAAATATCCCAGCAGCAGCTAAGAGCTTCAAAACAGAGAGAGAACAGAGGCCTTCAAAGTAGTCTAGGACAGCAACTATCCTTTAACATTTTAGCATGCCTCTTACATATGGGTGATCAACATGCCTTTTAGAAAGTGCACTATTTTCTGCACAAGTTCTGTGCCTTAGCTATGGAACCTTAAAGCTAGCCCAGTTCACTACTGAGTACTTGTACAAGTCAGATACCACCACAAGACTTCAAAGTGCTAAGCATAGAATTAAGCATTGCCATTTATTCTGTAGAACTGGTTAAACAGCACCCCCAAAAAATTTAAAATGCAACATTCACATTGCCCAAAGGCAAGTTTATTCCTGTGATTCCCACTTCTACTTTACAAAAACAAGACAAATCTGACAAGTAGTAGCAAGTTCCCTACCTTAAAAAAAGATACCAGTTTCCCTAGTTATTGGTTGCTGTAGTATAAGTTAATATACCAAGGAAACAACTGTTCTACCTTCAGAATTTAAAAAGGCTGAACATCTAACAAGCTAGTTTAGTCTATGTGATTTTGTTCAGTGGTTATCAGCACCAGGATTTTAAACAGTCTGCAACATTAATCATACTTAGTGAAGTTGTGGAAGTTTTAACAAAAGCATGGCTTCTGTTAACACACTGAACAGTCCTGGTGGAGGGAAGGAACTTTTTTTTGTACCTTGGCATCTGCAGGACGGACACCTGAAGCAATGAGGAAAAGGCTCTGCAGAGACACTGCTCCAAGGCCACCTCACCACCCCTCTGCAGGACTGTCTCTGCCACTCACATTTTGCAGATGTTTCTTGCTACCCCTCATCCCACTAGTCTATCCTTAGCGCAAGTGTGACAAAAACCCAAGTAGACTTCAGTGAAGGATCTGTAGTTTATTCTTTGATACAACTCACATTAGAAGAGTTCATGTCTTTAGCACTACACCTATTACCTTTTCATTTTTCAATGGATACCTGAAAAAGCCATGATGTTTCAACATCTGTGTTTATTGCAAGAGTCAGAACCTGGTAAGGATACATAGGAACAACGCACGGTTCATGACCGAGCATGAAAACAAGATCTCAGTGCTTGCTTTATTGTGCTGGTGCCAGTTAAGAGAAGAAACAAACATCCCAGAAATTACACAGAAGTAACCAGGACAGCAGTGAATTATGCATCCTCTGAGAGGGAACTTGGTCTGGCTACGGTTTACAAGGAAAAGTAGGCTAATTTAAGAACCAGTGAAGGACCCACATTACACAGGCTTACAGAATGGGTGCAACTACTTTTGACATCATTTTAGTGCAAGGGCAGAGGGTGACCTTCAGTGAGTGGCCACTCAAGAAGTTACTCAAAGATTAAGCTTCTATACTACTGCTTCCTTTTACCAACACCTTTTACTTGCCACACATGAGGTTTGCGACATCCAAAGGAAAAACTCCTGTCCTGTTAAGGATCATGAGATAACTTGTCAGTTTGACTTACCAGCTAAGATCTCAACCTCTCACTAGCAACTGTTAAGTAAGTGTGCTCTTTACATCTTACAGGAGTGTCTTGGTATTTAGTAGTTTCCCTGTTGAGTACTGCTCCAAACCTCACCATCAGGATTCTCCCCACAGCTCACAGCTTCTCCCATAGTCACCTAGTGATTTACAATAGCTCTTTTTATAAAGAGACATTAGCCCATAGGAGCTGAGAGCTACCACCACACACCCTTCTTACACTGCAGAGAATCAACACATGCTGATCTGAACATCACTTGGTACTCCCCAGAGTCCATTATACTTTGCATGAAAGGCTGTGATGTCAGTTAATTTCCCCAGAACCAACACCCACTTCAGTTTGATATAAAACTAAGAGGGAACAGGACCTCAATGTTGTAAGGCATCAGATGAAACCTAATTAACTGTAGGAAAAAGTCCACTATCATTTCCACACATCTCTAACTTCTTTTTTAATAAGGTGAAGGGAAGACTGTATTAGTTCCAATTACATTTTGCTCCATGCCCAGTGATGTTACAGTCATTTACCACATGTGAACCAGCTCACAAAAGCATGTTGGTCTGTTTGTGGGAAATAGAAAAGATTGTAACCTTGAAAGTTAGACTGCTAAATGGCCTGTAAGTGCTTATTTTACAAGGCAAAAACTGAGGAAAACACTTGGTTACTGCTTCAGGTGATCCCCTTAAGCACTTCCCTTGTACAACATGGCTAGTTTGTCATTCTGGACCTAACAGCAACTTAAAGCTGAGTCCTCATTTACACCAAGTAAGTGTATACTGACAAACTATGAGTTTAAACCAAGAAGCATGATTTGTTTAGTACCAGAGAGCTGTCAACGGAGGCCAAGTCAAAAAGGAAGGCCTCTTAAAATGTCTTAAACTTGAATGTTGCAGCCAGAGACCATAACCTCATTAGCCTGACATCTACCACATTGCAGCAATAACTTGTCTTGACAGCTGCTATAAAGCCACCAAGATGAGTGGGCAGCTTTGGGTATGCTTGCTGTTTTTTAACGGATAGAGTCCAAACCAGGCTGGTACCTGGTAGGTGGTTGCTGGAGACCACAGAAATTGCACACCCTCAAATACTGCTCAGATTCTTCTTCACAAGAATATTGCTGGAGACCAAGTAATTATTCAAGTTGAGCAATAAGTGATCAGACTTACTGATTCCCCAAAATCCAACTATTTCACTGATACTAGCCCCAAGCCCCCTCACTTAGGATGGTTAAAAAGGATTTAACTGCATGCTGTTAAACCAAGGCTCTGGGACCCTGGGAATCACAGAAGTATTCCTAAGGCCATGAAAACCAAGCAGGCATTTACTTGACTTTTGACTGCAAGAGAAAGGAAAAAAAAATGACTTGCAGAAGTAGCTACATCTCTAAAGGCCAATCAAAAACTACCAATAAATCTGTACCAAATGTAGTCTTAAAACTCTTCTGATGCGTCAGTAGAGACAAGTATGAACATTATGTGTACCTAACACTGAGCTGTTTAAGGCAAGTTTCACACACAATGATGCCTGATGTAAAGGGAGCGTTTGACACTTTTTTGGCTTTCAGCTGTTGCAAAAACAACACAGGGAGAGAAAGCAGAGTTCTACCTTTACTACAGCAGGCACCTTAAGTGACCAAGCCCAAAGTGGCTCTAGTTCAGAAAAAAACCCAACATTTAAAGCGTGGACCAAGAAAATTCTACCATGCAACTCCCAGAGCTAGCTTTAGAAAAACTGAACTCAAGACTCATACTTGCTTCTACTGTTTCCACAAGCCTTGAAAGGCTGCTGTGCAACTCATTCCCACAGCTAAGCTGATTTTGATCCCCAAGTCACAAGTACACTTCAGCCAACTGACATTACTTCATAATCACCAAGGTAAACAAGACACTCAGTATGAACCAACAGCATGCCACACTCACAAAAAACCACAGTTCATGATTGCATCACAGGCTATCTGCAGGTGGTGTTGGTATGTTCTGTCTAGGACCAGCCCAACTCCCACACAAAGAAGTCTCCATAAACCATTTTATCCAGAGGAAACATATGGGTGGTAGCAAAACAGAAAATATTAATTTCAAGACTTTCCCTGTCCATCCAAAAAAAAAAAAAGATAAGAACTGGTTAGGGAGCACTGTATAATAGGATTGACTGGTTATCTTTTCTTTTTTTTTTTTTTTTTTTTTTTTAGCAAACAGAATGGTAATAAAGATGTCATTTGGCACCTTGCAGTAGAGTTTTGTTTTCATCTTTTTAGTGTTCCAGTCATCAGCTCCTTCCAGACTAGAGAGGTAAGTTTTATCAAGATCCCCATGCATTTTCACTATGAACCCCCAGTTACTCCATAGGATAAAGAAGGAACCATTCAAGATAACTGAAAAAGATGAAACATACCCCAGTTTAAACACAGAAAGTGAGGAAAAAAAATAAAATGGTTTTCAGAGTCTGTTCCAGCCTAAGTGCAGCTGGCATTTCAGTTAGCTTGACAAAAAGAGTCCTTCATACAGTTCCAGTATGTCTAGTGGTACTGAGCACACAGGTGCTAGACTGCCCATGACAGTACTTCTTATTTGGTCTCTGGCTTGTCTTGCAATAGTGGTATAATTGACTCCCACGCCGTAAGGCACTGAAAAAAGAAATAAAGATTTAAAAATAGATTGTACATCAGTTCTTGTAACTTTTGACCAACTTTTCCAGGCCAACAGAAAGCAAGTTCAAGAAAGGCTAGCCAGGTCTTTACAGATCATTATAGAAGGGGGGAAATACCTTGAGAATCTCAAATAGCAAGAACATATTCAGAAAGAATAGCTGCAGTTTCCTAACAAAGAAGACAAACTTTCCAAAGTCATCAGCTGGCTAAAGCCATTCAAAATCAACAGGATTTCCAAACGTGAAGCTAGATTCTTCTAAACGGAAGAGTATCACAGCTTTCAGTGAGGCAGACAAGCTGCTTCTACTAGAAATTCACATCTTTGTGGTGTGTCTGTGGGAGAGGGCTGTTTTGGGCACAATGGCAGCAGCTATTACAGACTACCCATAGCAAACTTATTTGAAAAACCCATGCATTTTGGGAGGGAAGTTCAGAAACACATGTATTCTGGTACACCTCTGGGACTTGACTACCACATGAAGAATGGTAGTGCCTGGTATAGAAAACCAGAACTGGACTCTAGCTTCTGGGCTATTAGACAGTCACTCCAGGCTTTGCAGTAATTTCCCCAGTCACGTTGACTTACTGCAATCTTTGTGCTCTGGATCATTATTGTCTTTCAACCATGTACTGCCCAGTAGCCAAACTAGACAAACACAGACCATGGAATACATATTCTGAAGCACTGGAAATGGAGAAACTCATCACCAGCTCTTACATCCACAAGTCATTGTTGTCCAGTATTTTCCTTTTAACCTTGGCAACTGTACTTGCCAAGTTGTGTATACACTTCTAGTTGTGTATCCCAAAGTGATTAGATGCTCTCCTACCAAAGAGCTTCCTTGCTGCAATTAAGAGCAAAACAAAGATGTACAGATTTAACTGTCCATGGCAGGGGCACTGCTGGATGTTCAGTGGAATCTTTAATACTCTTCTCCACAGCAGTGTCAGAAGAGAGACAAGATCAGGGTGAATGAAGTTCTGTGTGACTAGTTATGTGTTGCTGACCAGACAAACATTGGAAAGGCAAAACAAGTGCATGTTAATATCAAATGGAGAGATAACCTAGCACACAAAGAAGTCTGTGAAGTATATGTAAAAAAAAGCAACAGGCAAGGCATGTCAAGTGTTTAAAATATCAACCACTGCATTGGGAAAGTCTGTTCTAGCAGGAAGGAAAACTAGACTGGCAGCATATGCAGTTAAATGTCAAGGACCTTTCACTTAGAACACCCAATCTGATGCTGAATCTCAAGTACACGTGCTCCAAACAAAAAAAGGCAGAGGCACCTGACTAGGTATTTCTAGGACTA